AAGAGGTCCACCAAACATATGCCCAGTTAGGGTATGGGCCTTGAAAATCTTTAGAGAAGCGTATGAACCATGAATGTCTAAAAATGGAATTCTCTAACAGAGAGACTCTATACCAAGCGTCTTGATAATCCCAGTAGTTGAATATTTTGGGTCTTATATCAATAAGCTTAGTAATGAATCTTGGCTTGCTTGCATCACCCCAGGCAGTCAGAGATATAAACTTGACTATTACTAGCTTAGAGTAAGCTAGTTTAGTTTTATTTGGGTTTCTAAAATAGTGCTGAATTAGCGCAGACCCCGTATGAAGGAGAATTTCTTCATAACACTTATGATCCTTATTTTGACCATAGACAGTGAAATGATGCCTGCCTAGAATGGAAAAGGCAGGGTGCTGGAGAGCCCCTTCTTGATTGACATGAGTGGAGGTAGAGGCGACTTCTTCTCGAGAGATAGTTACCATGAAATCTGAGGAATTTGGAATGTACTGGCTAGAATTAGCCTCTTCCCTATCTGCAGATGGTTCCCTGATTAAGGGAGATATTGATGGAGATTGATTAGTCCTTGAACCTGTTCCGATCTCATAATTAGATCTTGGATTGGACTCATTAGGCCTTTTAGGACGCCTGGAATTAGGATTTAGAGGAAGACGAAGTCTTTTGTCGGTCATCTTTAATTAGATAACCTTGCAAGAATTCCCTGGTTAGAAAATTTGGTAGAGCATTTTCAGATCCTTTGATATATTTGATACCAAAATAAAAAACCGACAAAATAGCTTGCCATCTAGAGAAAATTTGCTTTGAAACCAGGTTTGTAACATCATTTTCCAAAATCTCTTTGGCTTACTTGCAATCAATTTGAAGAGTAAAATGCTGGTTTATCAAATCACTTTGAAATTTAGTGATGCAGAGAACTATGCTGAGCATTTCTTTTTTGACAGTGGAGTTTTTTTTGGGTATCGTTTCAGGTTCCTGAGGTGAACCGAATTATCTCATCTTTCCCCTCTCTTCTTTGTTTTAAGATTCCTCCATATCTTGTTTTGCTAGCATCAGTTTCCATTATCTTTGGGACTTTTGGGTGAGGAATATTGAGGCAGGGAAGGGTTTTTACCCGTTGCTTAATTTTTCTCACTACTTGAATGAACTGTTCGCTCCATTCTGGAAGGTTCTTTAGTCTTTTTTCAAGTAATTTGCAGTCTTGAGCTATTCCTTTGTAATAGTCTGCTATATAATTTAGACTGCCTAAGAATCTTTGAAGTTGGGTTTTATCTTTAATCTCATCAGGGAATTTATCATCAAATTCTATTACTCTTTGGATTGGCGCTATTTTCCCTTTGGATATTTGATATCCTAAAATTCTAATTTCTGTTTGGAAGAGTTTAATTTTCTTAGCAGATGCTTCTAGTTCATGGACAAATATAGAGCCTTTCGTAAAGGGAGAGTTTATTTAGAATTCGATCATGTAAAACAGTTTGAGTTTTTTAAGACGTTTCGTCTCCCTTGAATTCTAAAGTAGAGTTTATCACCTTGATGTTTCTTGGATGTCTCTACCTATTGAAAGGAAAATTGGGATAAAAATGGTGGGTTAAATTTGATCTCACATATGTCCTCAAGCCCACCTCGGAAGAAGACGACATTTTCCAGTCCATCTTTGATTCTTACATGGACAAGCTTTGAAGTAAGTTTCTCGACTTGGACCCATTAGAGCTCGAAGAAATGTCCCTACGTATGGCCGAAACGATGAAAGAGAAAAGTAAAAGCATCTTGAAGGACCTCGAGACGGAAAGTGTTCGCTCTATCTGCCCGCACCAAGGTCGTGACACTATTTGAAGATTCCATTCTCATTCGAAACAGTAAAGGTTTCGACATCTGTTCCTAATAGGACAAGAAGGTGATAAGGGAGCAACTCAATAATTAAGATGCGCAATAAGAAAATGTCAAGAGGCATCTCAATTATAGAAGCCTTAGAGATAAGATCGAATAAGTGGTTTCACGTTGGCTCTTTCTGGAAACCTCAACCACCTCTACATAAATCACTCTTCTCTCAAGCAGGTGTGCAAGGTTTTGGGTGCAATTACAAGTATTGTAATAAAATTTTTCTTTCTGAGTGACTTGAGTGTTTTTTTTTTCTAAGAGATCCCTTGTAACATTGTGAGAGTGTGTTGTTGTACCTGTGTGAGCTAAATATTTGTAAGTACTGTTATTAAGATTTCTATCACAAAGTCTTTCAATCGTTATATGTTTTCTATTTTATCGACTCTATTTATACTGATCATCTCCCTGCATGTCATTACTGTTCTTCTTCATTCATATTGTAATGCAACTCTGTTGGTGTCTTTAATTTGAACGACAAGTTAGTCTTTGTGTTCTCACTACTAGTGTCCACTGTTGTTTTCTTGCCAATGTTTCCAAGTATAATTTTGATTGAAAGACACTTAGCCCTGAAATGTTATTTGCTACTGGTTGGTTTATATACGTGTGCCCAGACATGTCAACTGTACAATGCATTCGTTCATGTGTTGTGTATGTTTTGTTCCAGTACAATGACAACAATAATAATCAACTGCCTTGTCAGGTACTTCGAGGAATGTTAAGTTGGGATACATCAAAGAACTGATATATGAAGAAATTATTTTATTTTATTTTATTTTGGTAATTTGAAGAAATTATTTTTCACTCTCCCATATTTTAAACAGCCAGATTATACCTTCCTCAGTTTTCTATTTTCTTTTTGGTAGGTAACAATGAAGTTTTATTAACTAAAGTCAAATGTGTACAAGGTGTACATATACCATTACAACAGATTATGTAGCATTGCAAGATATACGAAGATTGATGGGGAAAGGATAGACATTTGCTTCCTTAATGATTACAAATGGGGCCTTCTTGGTGTTTCAGATGTTGAGGAGGTGGAGGGTTTGACAAAATGGCCTCAGGTTGGCCAGATAGACCAATTTCCTATAAGCAACTTGATCTTTTGAGGCCATCAGTTCAATATTATTCAGTTGTTAAAGTTGGTATTCCTGGGATTCCCCCTCCCTCCAAAAAAATTTTGATAATAAAAAAGAACTTCATTTTAGTTGTTAGAATTGTGATTCTTCAAGTACATTTGTTTCTTTCATGGTATGGAACTTAATCCCTTGCCTTTGATTTCTGTTGATTTATTAATAGTTTGTGATGGAAATGGCTACCTTGTGATTGATTCCATAAGCATGTAGTCCCTCCCATGTTTTATTGATGAAGCCAACTCAAAATACCCTGTTTTCAATGCAATCACCACTAGATATTTCAGACCATGCAAAAGGGAACTACCCTTATGAGGGATACAGAAAGCTGTTAGTTGGGGATGTATGATAAACCTCTCCCTTGCTTTGGTTGTGTTTTAGGGTGGTTCTCGTAAGTAAATCTCTCTCTCTCTCTCTCCCTCATGGTTACACTGTTTCTTGCAGTCTATTACTAGGTTTTGTGTTTCCATGTATGTGGTACTATGCCACAATTCTCTCTACTTTGGAAATTATTATCGCAAGGATCCAAGAGAGCGAGCAGGCCTTGCTGCTTCTGCAATTGCGGTACTCTCGCTCGCTCGCTCGCTTACTCACGCGCGCGCACCCCTTAGTTTTGTTTTTTGAAATTTCAGCCAATTTCCCAAAGTAATCTTGACATTGGGGCTGTCTTTAATCACCTTGGCTTTTAATCTAATTCTGACATGGTTCCAGGCATTGATCTGCTCGGTTGTTTAACTGATGGTGCTTCAGTTTCACCAATGCTTTTCACCTTTGTACCCCAGAATGAGAAGCCCAAGTACATATTGTACAAAAAAGGTTGCAGCATGTAGCAATAGGAAAAACTGCATAGGATGGAATTCTTGGTTCCCAACTCTTTTTCATTTTTGTTGGTCTCTCATCATTTTTTCAAGTTTCAATTATCCGGCCCCTTCATTTGAAATTAGAACTTCAACCAAAAAGATGATGAGTAATGGAGAGTTGAAGTTTGGTGTTTTCCTCTGTTGCATGCTGCTAGATCAATTTAAGTAGAGATACAAATCAGTGTTGGCAAAATAAATTAGATATAAATTTTAATTTATTTTAAGTAACTTTTTTTAAGATACTTTAACTGAAAAACTAACTTCTCGACTTCTTTTTTTCTAGCCTAGGGCCCCTCCGCTAGTGTAACACTAACACAGAATGAGGCAAATTATGGTGCAACACCATTGACTCCAACTTAACTTTCGCTGTGCCTGTGCCTAAAGCAAATGTCATCAATGTCATTGTTTATATATACATTCCAATCATCACGGGATCTATTAGGGTGGTGGGGGTGTTGGACCTGTGGGTAGAATTGAGATCTGCTCATCACAACCTCAGCCACATTCCACCCTGTACTGAGAACATCTCATCTCCTAATAATAAATAGTACTGGAGATGTCTGGAGATGTTCTGGATGAACGATCAGGATATGCCGTGAGGCTCCTCAAAGCTCCGACAAACAATAACCGGGATTGGTGCACACTAACTATTGAACATTGGCTACATAGCTTAAACGTTTTTTTTTGGTAAACCACGAATTTAGATAAAAGCAGACTGGGCCAACGGAGCCCCGATCGCCCAACCCTAGCGCAAAGCCTGAGCTTGATAAATTTACCAATAGCTGACACAGCTAGTCAGCTAGGCTCTAGACCTTTTTGACTTGGAGGAGGGTAGGGGGCGAAGCCGGGCTCTGACGCCAAATCAATGGGAACTAGATGTCTAGATCCACCGTCTTTACTCACCCAGCCGGAATTTTCACCTTAATAATCATCCTTCCAAGTTCCAACTAAAAAGCATCATAGGAGTACCCTGGCCTGACTACTGTCGCCCAATGAGTGGTTAAAAATGATGAAAAGAAAAAGAAAAACAAATGAACATTAGGGCCACTCCGTTCACCATTGCAACAAATGTTGGATTCAGAATTTAAATGCCCTTGCACCGTAACTGGAATTATGTTATCTTTTCTTGCTTAGAGGGCTGTGAATCTCAGAGATAACATCTGAATGAATAGATTTTCCAAAGTTCCAACAATCCCAAGGCTCCATCTTGTACGTACCATAACCAGAACTTATTACATACTAGACCCTTCCAACCAAAAGACGAGGAAATATAACAAAACCGAATTCTTATAAAGATACTAGGTGTGCCAATTGCTTAACTAAAAATTACAGGAAAAAATTCTCATGTTACTCAATTTTCTACACAGCTTCGCTTGGAAAACCAGTGATTGAAATCAAACCACTCTGTAATCATTTGAAACACCTCTAAACCGGCATCCAGAGAGGCCTGAAAATTCTCCCCTTATCTTGGAGGTGGTGGAGGAACATGAGATTTTGCCATACCTACCCAAGCGACGATGCCGACTGCAAGTATTATCCATCCGAATATATCATACTTGAGGTCACTGCTTTTCTTTTTCTTCGAACTCTGAAATATACACGATACACTCGAGTTAATTAAGGCTTTGGGTGATTCAGAAAGCAGGTGAACACAAAATATATGTATTGTATGTCAGTTTTCAGGGTGATTCCAACGTTAATATCGATCCAAATATATTTATTTGTAAATCCACAGAAAAATTAAAAATTAATATATGTTGAAAACTCCGGATACACAAAAATCCATCGATACTTTGAACCATGGGGGACCATCAGTGCATTGGATATGGTCACAACTCTTGCTTTTTTAGACAGTAAAACAAATAGATGCGTAGTGCCCCAAAACTTGTCATGTCCAAGACAGGTATAGCTTCAGTGCTTCACAACTCTTTCTTTTTTAGATAGTAAAATAAAAATTCGATTAAAAAGACAAAAGAGAGTACAATACCAGGTGACAAGATATCACCGAGACGGATCAAAGGGAACAACTCTTCAACACCATAACCATAACCCTTCTATCTGACAAGCATGCTTCCCAACTATGAACCACACATACATCAAACAAACATGCAAACTTGTAATTATAACCTAGAATGGAACATGCTGACCTATCCTGAAGTCAGTGGGCAATATTTTCAAATGCTCATTCTGCCAAAAACTTCATGTTTCAAGGTTTAATCCATTACCTGATTTTCCTTTAATTACTGGTAAAACTTATTGAGTACCAAAAAAGAGATTATGAGATGTACATCTGACACAACATAACAAAGAACACAATAGAAGGTAAAAGATAAGCCTACAATTTTGGGAATATATTAGAATTTATAATATCTCCAATTTCAAACAAACCAATTGCTGAAATGGTAACTTTTGATGGGCCAATGCTGGGTTGGGATTTGGGGTTGAGGCCTCAAGAGACTTTGAATTGGGTGAACTGATTTCCTCCTTGCTTGAAACCCTCTAAGAAGTGAGTTTGTTGTCTTTGGGATGCGATGAGAGGGTACTGGTACCAAATGTTTGTTGGCAGTTAAAGAACTCTGGTGCGGCCTTATTCCCCTCCTAAGGTAAAGGTTTTCTGCTAAGAGGTTGTTAATAAACTGGTCCATCTCACCTCCTGTGTGTTCTTTGCATGAAGAGTGGGGAAAACACTAACCATCTTTTGTTACATTCTCCTAAAAAGAACATGGGTAGTAGTAAGAAATTATTTAAGCACTAATAACTTAACACTAGATATGGCTATAAATAGAATGGATTGGCGAAACAGGATTCGTGTATCCGACCAGATATAGTTGGGATAAGGCACAGATGATGATGAGGAAGAGTTTGGTGGTACCAGCTGAAGTATTCGATCTATTTGACTGACGATTGTTGAGATACTGATGCAGAAACTCAAGAGACAAATTTGGAATGTTCTCAAATTTTATGTATTTCTGTTTTTTAGCAGGGGTGTTTTTGTAATTTTATATTTCACTGGGGCCCAATGATAGGGTCCGGTTTGTCTAGTTATGGTTTGTTTATGTTAAAAATTTTAGTCATTGAATAAGTAGTTTATGAGTTAAGTCTTGAATTGGAATAGGATAATGGCATTTCAGTTTTAAGTCCTACTAGGATTCTTTATTTTTTGGAGAGGTAATAGAAAATATTTCACTAAAGAGTACCATACTGCACAAAAACAAGCAGTAGGTCAAACAGGTACAATGTACACCCATCTGACCACCATGCCGGGTTTCAAACAAACAAAAAAAAAACAAAGAGAAAAATAACTGATACAAATTACAGGTCATATATTCTCACCCAGCCCTTCGACAACCCCATTCTAGGCATTCCCTACCAACCCCTGCTCTTGACAAAGTGTCAGCCTGCACATCAGAACTTCTAGATACCGGGTACCCAATTGAACAAGGCAATGAGGGAGGTACCTAGTGAGTGTCCTTGTCTCACCAATGTCCTAACTGTCCATGGAATCTGAACATGTCTTCATCCATATTATAACTGTTTGACAATCGCCTTCCACTTGCACTTCTTCAAATCCTGTGTCATCAATAATTTTAGGCCTTGAATCAAGGACAAAAGTTCAGCTGATGTTTTGGCTAAGCAAGGGGTGGGAAGGGTTCAAAAGTTCTCTCTGTGGTGCTTTTTTGTACCTTTTTTCCATAATTAATGAAATTCTTCTGTTATTGATAAAAAAAAGGACTAAAGTTCAGCTCTCAGGGAGTTACCATGACACACTGGGCCTGAAGAGCTTACAATAATATCACTCCCATGATCTCTAACAATTCCACCCACTCCAGAAGCCCTTGGATTTTTCAAGACAACATCCATCAAAGTATAGTTTCACCACCCCTTCTACAGGAGGGGATCGCTCATCTGCTATTTGTTGTCTTCTTGTTTGGAAAGCAGCAACCACCTGCCACCCCCTTGGTAGGTCATTTAGTGAGAAACCTCTAAAATCTTCACAAACCATGGCCCAGTGAGCAGCCTTAATCCTTGTCAATTTATACCTCCTCCACATCCCAATACTTTTCTTTAAAAATCCCCACTTTTCTTTCACACCACTGCCCCCACACATACATTGCCACAAAACCTTTTGTCTCCGACTGCTACAATCCATCACCTCTGCTCTGAACAATTCTGCCACTTCAGCCAGTGCCACCCAAGTTTTTCCAAATAACCTGAATTCTAGCTGTCACAATCTAGAGGGATAGGAACAATGTATGAGAAGGTGATTGGTGTTTTCCCCACTCTTCATACCAAGGACACACACATGAGTAGGGGTGTCAATGGACTGGTTTTGGGTTGGCCACCATCCAAATCAAAATCAATTTGGATGAGTTGGACAGACCAATAAAACATATTGAATTGGACCAGTCTGGATTTAATGGTCCTAAGTATTTATTGAATTGGATTGGACCTGGTCCATCTGTAATGAATTTATATTGGATTGGGTAGGACTGAACCAAATATCAGGTACATTAATAAAAGATGAGAATACAGGTGTCAATGGACCAGGTTTGGGTTGGAACCAATCCAAATTAAAGCCAATTTCAACAGATTGGACGGTCCAGACATTGAATTGGACCTGATCCATCTGTAATGGACTCATATTGGACTGGTCTAAACTGGACCAATTGACACCCCTACACATGAGAGAAAGCGCCCAGAAATTCCATGTTATTTATGATTTGGTTAACAGCCTCCCAGCAAAAAAAACCTGAATTTAGGGGATTGGGCTAAACCACACCTCTCTCACAGGAAAAAGTTGGTTCTCAGTGGTTGGGTATGTCCTAAAAAAGGAGGCACAGGTAAAGTTACCTACAGTAGAGGGTATCCTACTAGGATTCTTATGAGTAACAGTTTTTGAGTCCTAGGGTTCTTAAGAGTCTACAGTCTATAAATATGTGTGGATATTCTACACTTATACACAAGGGTCAATGAAGTTTATTGTTTTTCTTTTTGAGCTTATGCCATTTATGGTGAGTGATTCCCATGCCCTAGAGTGATTCTAGGTACCCCATGAGTGATTCTGGGTATTCTCTCCTTGCTTTCTCTATCTATTGTCTTTCTTATTTCCTTTTTTTGATGAATGATCATTAAAGAGAAATATAGGAGGGTTGACTGGTTGAGGAGGCATTTGAGCTTAGAATTATAAGGGTGGCATATTGGGCTTTAATATGTGAAGGGTTCAAAGATGTTTCCTTGAATGATATCCTAAGGGGATGACAGGTCATTGCTAGATTTCAGATTACAGGGCAGCGAAGGTTGGGTGAATGGACTGCACCAACAACTGGTAAAATTAAATTTAATTGAGGCAGAAGGGACTCAAAACTAGTTATATCATGGACAAATGACAACTCTCTAGGTGGTTGGGTGCACAGCCACATCTCAAGGTGCAAGCAACTATTTTTGGCAAAATTGTAATTGATTCTTCTGTTTTTAAAATTAGTGACAGATCACTGTGGCAATATTCTCCTCAGTTTTTCAGGCCCAATTGGTTATGGTAATTCAGTAAGGGCTGAATTGATGGCTGTAATCCAAGCTTAAGTTAATAAAGCTGAAGGGGATGAAAGATGTAGAGGTAGAAGGAGACTTCTAAACTATTATTTGTTGGTTGAAGAATCAAAGATGTAATCATGTAATACCTTGGAGTAGTATAGTAGTAGGTATTACACAAACCATACTTTTACTTTTCTCAAAAAAAAAAGATGCTACCTTGGAGGGTTAGGCCAATGGTGAAGCAGACACAATCTCTAGGTGCTATCTTGAATACTTCATTCAACTGGACACCTAGAAGTGCTAATATGATGGCAGATGCATTGGCAAGAGAAGGGGTATTAAAGGAACGGCTAGAATGGTGTCCAGGGCCAGGTTGTAATCTGTAATAGTTTTTTACATTGTCATCCTTAATTTGTATTAGAGACATATTTGTTTGGGAGATACATTGTATCTCTTGGCTTCTGCTTCCTTTGGTAAGCAGTAGGCCACAATCCCAAACCCTGAAAAACAAAACCTACCTAGGTAAGAGGCAAAATAGTGCACTGACCCCAAATATCAGCTCAACAATTTAAGGGAGACCCAAAGATCCCTCCCTTAGCCAACCAACTTCTCAGTTTTAGTTAAGATTCCTTGGGTTCCATCTGAATGAGATGTCCACTCTATCTAATAAACTGATTATTTTTAGTAGAGATGAGGTATCATTTCATTAGAACAAAAAACCAAGTACAACCAGTGGCTGTACAAAGGAAAGTACTAAGCAAATTAGACCACTCTTCCATTCGAAGTTACAAAAAGATTTTTAAATTCCAAAAGAGAACAAATGGCAGATCCTTCTAAATTCAACTGTGCAAATGCTCAGGATAACGGCTTTCCCACAATTTTCTGCCAAACTTCCCCCTCCTGACATCTAATAAACTGATTTTGAAGGGCAAGAATTATATAGAACCATGGAATGAATGCCTGCAACCACTAATCCTTGAGAAAGAAGTTGCCTTAAAAAGAACAATGTAGCTAAGATTAATGACAAATACCAAAAAAAAAAGGATAGGGGATGCTCATCAGGCCTTATTGGAAAAGGCATAAATTTACTAGTTTATGGAGCATAGTCATGGAGACATCATCCCATGGACAGCAAATTCCTCGATTAGGAACTGTTGAGACACAAATAAAGGGAATACAAGTGTACAAGAAAAGGCCACGTCAGCCTTTAAGTAATGTAATTGACAGCCAACCACTAGAACAAACTAAATAACAAACTGGACAAGTGGAGAGGCTGGTATAACAGAATTGTAACAGAAGTGTATAAATAAGGAAAGGAAGCCAGAAGAGGAATTATTGATTTTGGGAATACAATCTCTCTCTCTCTCTCTCTCGTTCAGGAGACAGGCTTCCTCGAAAAAGTCCCTGAGTTAGGCAGTTCCTAACAGGAACTTTGTTCTCATTTTTTCCCTTATTACTCCACAACTCTCACCAAGAATACTAGGCTATTAATTCTACATCATTCAATTATTCTTCAGCACATTTGACTCCTCCAGTGGCCTTTAAAATATTTTGGCCTACTGTTAGGAGTAAACTCTAGGCCTGCATCTTGAGATTTGGTGACAGAGTTAAACAAAAAAAAATAAAAAAACTAGCTACTTGGAAAAAAAAATTCATCTTTTTGAGGCAGGATTACACTTGTCAAATCAACATTAGCCTCTCAGTTTAGTTTTTATGTTTTTGTGCCCCATGATAAAAGGATAGAAAAGATTGTCAGAGATTTCCCATGGTAGTTAAGTGACTCTAAAAGGGATCTCACTCATGAACTGGGTGGATGCATGGAGCTGAGAAGGATGGACTTTAGATCAAAGACAAGAACACTGTTTTTGAAGGGTCTGGATTTCTGGAGGGTCAGGGACAAGAACACTGATTTGTTGGATCAGTGGCAATGGAGGTTTCAATTGAAAATCAACAACTTTGGGTCAAGGCAGAAATGATATTCTTCAAAAAGGATGGGACTCGGTGTCAACATCTAGGATGATGATGTGTTGCCCATGTAAAACAGTTGAGGTTATCCATCCAATGCTCATGTGATATATTAGGATAGACCCATTATCAAGCAATAAAGTAAAATTTGAGAAGACTGAAGACCTATGGTGGGGATAGAACGTTTTGTGTTGCTTTTTCCCAGCACCTATAACATCTTCCTTCATAAAAACAAGTTCATTGTTGAGTGTGCCCACTTTTCTCATTGGATTAAGGTCTCAGGGGAGTCTTAGAGATCATAAATCTGATGTGGACATTTCTCCAATTAACTCTCTTAAAGGTGGTATTCTTTTTAATGGTTGAGTCAGAATTTGGATTTTAGATCCTTTGGGCAATCTTCTTGTTCTTTTCTAAAGCCTTGATGTAGCACATCCGTTTTTTGAAAGGTATTGATGTAGAACACCCTTTCCTCTACATTTTCTGATTAAAACCCTTTGGGAATTGGGATGGCTCAACTCCAAAGATCCAAGCATTGTTGGGAAGTTGCTTTGCAAATTGTCAATACATGTGATATGCTCCAAAGAAGACACAAAGTTTGGTGTCTCTCCCCTCATCCGTGTGTCCTATTTGTTTGTCTTTTAGTGAATAAGTTTTTGAGGTTGTGGAATGGCTGAAACTGAAGTTGGGTAGATCACTATACCCTTGAAAATTTTATTGTTAATTATTTTAACAACTAAAAGACAAAGCAATAAGTCTTTCAGCTCAGCAACTTCAGCCGTTAGCAAACCTCAAATGGACCCTAGCAATGGCAAGCTTTGTGCAGCATAAGAATCCTATTCTTTTGCTTGGAGTGCTCTTTAGGCAAACCAGGACACTAGGGAATAGGAGGTCTCTTCAGAAGTCGTGAATGGTTTTTGCTGCTCAATTTCTTAGGTCCAGTGGAAGAAGGAAATTCTTTAACAGCTCAGCTTCTTGAACTTCTTCAAGGCCTCAAATTAGCATTAATTTCCAGTTGGAGCAAAGCAGTCATTGAAGAGGATAAATCAGTGAATGAATATCCTCAAGGGAAAAATATTGATAAAAAAATCCTCAAGGGAAGAAGGCCCTTGGCAATTTGGATTTCTTATTCAAGAAGCCAAAGTATTATCAGCCAACTTGAATGGCTCATTTAGGTGGGTGTACAGATGAGCAAATGCCTTGAATTGAATGACTTGTTGGCAAAACAAAGTGTGGGCATGGATGTTCTTGAATGGGGGCTCCAGTTACAGGGATGCAGTTCCGGACTATTTTTGTTTAAGATTCTTGGATTGGACAGAGGGTGGGCCTTGGCGCAATGATTGGGTTTCTCCATTGTAACCTGGATGACCAGGATTCAAATATTTGAAACAGCCTCTCTATGTATCTCCAGGAGTAAGGCTGCGCACATCTGTCCCTCTCCATACCCAGCATTGGCAGGATCTTCATTCACTGGGCTGCCCTTTATTCTTGGATTGGACACCTATGTGTTTGGCCAGGACTATCCCTATTTTCTTTTATGCATGCCAATTATGATGTGTATGCTGTTTGGAACTTGAATGTTAGGGTTCTCCAATACATTAGTACAATCTCCTTTGATTGTTTTATTAAAAAAAATGAAAATATGCACTGAACTGAATAAAATAGTAATTACATTAAGAGAAAAAAAAATCAAGAAAAGAGAAGGTACACAACCAAACATGCATAATTTTTTGCATCAAATAGACATGAAAATTGTCATTTAGAGTTCTCTATATAGAAAGGTCACAGTTTTAGTTGATGGGCAAGGATTCTCAAAATAAAATACATGCTCAGATGTCCATCAACCTTTTTGTAAAGATTCACAGTATGGGATCATAGGGCTGCAGGGGACCAGGGGCAGCTTTGTTTTTTGTATATTCCCTGTGTACAGCTTCTTGTTGTACATGGCATTTTCATAAGTTAATGAAAACTTTACTTTGTTTTTCCTCAACAGTATATATATATATATATATATATTTTATATATACTTCAGAAGTAAATGTCTTAGAGAAGTTTTCTTATACATAAAATGGTTTTACTGCAAAGAGAGTTTGGAAACTTTACATTTGCACTCGAAGAAGTTGAAGATCCTCCCCCCATTGTCTGTTGACTAAGACCATGCTTATGGATCTCCACATGCAATTCAGGAGCCTGAGGGAATGTGGCCATCAGTAGACATTATAAAAATTATTAAATGAAAATCTAATCAAGAATATTCAGATGTGGGGAGCTGCACCAAGTAAGAAAAACCCACTTTCTTTTTATTTTTTATCAAAAAAGCAAACCACTTTCCAGAAAAATTAATCCAAGAGTTAGCAAGCAAGACAGGTTAAACGAACAGATGCACACAATATCAATCTTGCACTATTGGCTTCAAAGAAAAAGGTTAAGTATAAGCTACAAACTGCAAATAATTAGAAAATAATGACTTATGAAAGATCTATAAGATGCCTCCATAAAGTTCATTTATAACAAGATGCTATTCAATATACCTATACCATTTCCAAAATATCAAAATCTATATATGCTTCATGAACACAGGTTCAAAAGCAAAAGGAGAAAAACACGGAGATACTCAATATTCAAGAATTCACCCTGCCCATTAGTCCCATAAGAAGTTCATCCTGTTGGGCAGAGTGCTTTCAGAGATTCTAGAATCTAGACTTCTGCTGTTAATGTGACCCATGTAACAGCCAAAGGGAAAGCATTTGATATAACTTTGATCTTTGTGCTCAGCTTCCTTAAAGACTAGCAGAACAGTTCCTTCAGGGACATCGGAAACAGTACCTGATATGAACCGTTTCCAAGAAATAAATTACCCCAAAGAGTGACACTGATTTTCCAGTGTAAGAAAAGATGACCTGCTGATTCTTTCATCTTGTTCATAGGACATAATCCAAATTTTGAATTTTTATGCCTTAGTCCTTAAGCCACTAACTTGTCCTTGGGCACTCTCCACAATCCATTGCACGAAGGCTATTCTTTAGAGTATACCTTGGAGAAAAGGATCCCAGTGTGAAATCTTCAGATGGGTTACAAACTCAGATCCTTCTGTCTTCTTTCTAACAATTCGTGTTTTTTTTGATGAATTTCTAACAATCCCTGTTTTGTACTTTTATCCATTTCTTCATCCTCTTCATTGTCTCATATTTTCCCATGTGTGAAAAGCAGTATGTAATATTTATATAGAGTGACTTTTTATTTTCTTAGGATTTTTTATCAGCAACACAGAATAAAATTCATTAATATTAGAAAAGAACAGTACAACAAGAAGTTGCAAAAAAACACAACCAATCCAAAGGAACTAATCCATCCCAGAGTATTACAAATGAACCCAATACATAGATTGTCACTGAAGCCCTTGCTTAGCTAAACCGTCTACCAACTGTTCCTTACCTAGTTGATTTGAATAATCATTTCTTTTGAAAGCCATTTGAAACGTCTGAAGTCATTCCTTAGGTGCCGAGTCACTCCCCACCCCCACCCCCCTCTTTCAGCCAGCCCATAACTGTTCCGAGTCACCTTTAATAATCAATCTTTCAAAGCCCAATTCTATGGCTTTCTAAACCCCGTAAACTGCTGCCAAGAGTTCTGATCTAACCGCATCGCCTTCCCAATTGGGCTTGAATACAAGGAAAGTATGTTTCCTTTCTCATCCTTAATCACCCCTCTAGTACCTGAAAGGCGGGGATTGCCCACATATATAGTTGTTCCTTTATGTCAAATAAGCTGAGAGATAGAAAGGAAATGTTACATAGAAGTGCCCTCAAGAATGAGCCATGCAAAACAATTTATGACAGTTTACCCAGTGGCACAGGAACTAGTACACTACCTTAGCGGTCAGCTCTAAAGACTTGAGATAGATCTCATTTCCAGGATCCTACAAAAAGAGAGAGAGAGAGAGAGAGAACTACTATTATAAGTTCCCCTAGCGTGTAAATTATACAACATTTCAAAATATAGGAAGTATGTAACTGCATGGTGACTTGACTAGAAAAGTTACTTCATCTACTGCTTGCTGGAAATATTGAGACGCTTTTTCAAAGTAAGCCTTGGCTTCCTCGTGCTCAGGAGTTAGAAAGGCATGAGAAGTGTGTGCATTTCCTAAGCACCAGAGCGTGTCATGCTTTCTTGGATTAACTAGCAATGCCTCCTCCAGCTTCGAAATGGCATCTGCAGAAATGGATAACAGAAATATAAGAATTTGAGTCTGCCTTCCGTGCTGGCAAATGGTGAATACAAAAGGTTTAGATAATCAAAAGGCAAAAATAATAAAAACCTTTTATCATCTTCTTCGTGTCTGGGAGATTCTGGAACTGTGACAACTCAAGAAGCGCTCCACCCCATCTCGTTAGGTTCTGTAGAAATTAAGAGAAATAGATTATAATATTTAAAATATGAATATAAAAAATACAACTAATTGGAGTTTGAAGCTTTTGATGACAATAACTAAAAATAAGGAGAATAATTCGAATCGACGCTTTTGTTTTAATCCCTAATGAGCTTGCAGTAAAGCAGTTAATTCATTGAAGTGGCATTTCTACGTCGAACTAATGAGGGAAACCGTTAAATAACAATATCCAAAAAACATCATTCTGAAACCCTAGACCAAAAAGAAATAAAAAAAAAAAATCGAATATGAAACAATAAATGATGGAGATAGAAAGTACGAACATCTGCGTCGAGCGGGTCCCTGGCATAGTTGACCTCGGCGGTCTTCCGAGCATGCTCGAAGAACATGAGGCGATCGAAATCGCTCTGAGACACATCCATCATGTTGATGAAAACGTTTAAAACGGGTAGGTCTCTGTGTGTCTTTCCCTCCTTGTGCTAGGGCTTGCAAAAGAAACTGAAGCGGCCTGCGAAGGGAAATGAAGCAGAGGGTAAAAAAAATGGCACAAGACCCAGGCAGGCAGGTAATAGGTGGATAGCTTCGTTTCCCAATTCTCGAATCGTGAGATGAGCGTTCCTTGTAAACGCTACTGACACTTGTTAGATTATGCTGCTGACACGTGCATCTAGATTATGTGGCATAGGTCGACGATGTTCCCGGCTGCCACATTCACATTAGTTGGAGGGAATTCGCGTTCGGTGCACCGGACGAGTGAATCCGCGAATCAGAGTCCTCCACGTCAACCAGGAGAAGGAACGCGTACCGTTAACGTTCCAAGCCCCGTTAATCGGATTTGGCGGTTCAACCAGCCGCAAAATGACAAAATGGAGATCAAAACCCTTGACAAACCTTTTTTTGACTTTTCCCTCTGTATTTTTCCCCAGGAGACCGAACCCTACCCATACTGTGACTCGAACCAATGGCCGTCGGCGGTTACTGCGAGAGCTTTAATGGTACGTTTCTCTCTTCCTGTTCTTCTTCTTCTTCTTCAAATGCTCTGTTTTTGAGTGCGCATTTCTTTATATTGACAGTAGATCTCTTCATGGTCGGGCTCGAGTTTGGGTTTTGCCATATACCGACACTGAATCTATATAACTGAAGTTCTTTGAGTTAAAGTCTCTAATAAATAGTTTGATCACTTGGTGGTTAGAGATAATAGAAAATTTTGAAAGATTCAAGATGATTGAACATGGAAAATACCCTAATTTTAGACTATGCAAAGGAGAATCGGAAGAGCAATTAAACCCGTGTTAGCGAGTACGAGTGTAGGACATGGTGTTGTTGCCTATGAATAAATTGGTTTTTGGAACTAAGTGGGAAGATTCAAAAAGAGATGTATTGGTGGTGGATTCGAATTCATCCCAACGCCGCCCTCTGATGCTTTATCATATCAGAATTTGAAGAATAGAACCGAAGAATTATCAATGGACGAGGCAAAAAATGGGCCAAAGGGGTGTGAACTGTGAACTGTGAACTGTGAAGAACTGGAGAGCTTCGGTGAATATTGAATAGAGATAATCAGGATATCACCGTACCAAATCAAATACTTGCTTTGGTATTTGATTTGAGGTGAGAAAGAGACGCCGACATGGATGCATGGTCAGGGTCTCAGGGAGGAGTCTAGATCAGATCCTCACAAAGGAACACTCTATGAGGGACAGGGAGAGTATCATTTGAGTCTGAACTCCGAATTGCGCACAACAAAAACCGTCAGAGCTCTCCTTGTCGCCGCCGATGGCTGCCAGAGCATATAGGGGAAAAGCAAACAGGGTTTACTGCATCGGCCACTTGAAAAGTTCGGTGGAAGGAGGAAAGCTTCAGGGAAAATCACTAAAAAATTTTACAGTATGAATTTGGCTTCGGTTTGTATCCGGTTGGACTGTCAAATCCAAATTAACGCACGTTTAACTATTAACATTTGAATGATCGACATGGTCAAATCCGATCGTCGGGTTCACTCGTCCAGTGCACCCACGGATGCACAGAACGCGGACTCGGTTGGAGTTTGGACGTAAACCAGTAGTTTCGTGGGTTGAGCCTGGTTGGTCTACAAACGGCAAATCCAGGATCCAGCCCAAACATAGGTGACGCCGACGAGACGTTGCTTTGCTATGCTATCTACCGTCAAATTGGCCCAAGTTAACCTCGCAAAGCCCATTTCTTCTCGGAGGTGTCGACTGTCCAGTTGAGGAGTGGTTGGTTAACCGTTACCCAGCCCAGCCAGCCCAATTTTAAAATTTATAAAATATATTGAAAAAGGATCTTGTGCTTTGCTAGTTGGATTGTTCAGGAAATAAGGCTGAACAAAACCAATACCAATTCAACCATACAAGGTACATGTGCGTTACAAATTTGCAAGATTGTTATTGGAGTCGAAGTCGATCGACCCTAGCATGCATACATGCTCTCAAGTCTCAAGCTGAAGCTGGTGCACGAAACCGATTCTACATTTAACGAGTCACCTTTGATTTCGATACCTTTTGAATTCCAATTCCCAGATGCAACTTTGCACCAGTGCAAATAAAATGGCACAGCAATTAAAACAAAAGTTGCTGTTTTCATCAATGGAAACGCTTGCTGCGCTCTTGCTGAGTGCTGAGTGCTGACCTCCCATCCCATTATTTTTTGTCTAAGGGTTATCGTTAGACCTGTTCATGGATCGAGCCATGCCGGGTTTGGATCGGGCTTTTGCTCTTTATTAATAGGAAATTTTCAGACCCGAGCCAAGTCCAGCCCGACCAATGGGCCTACAACTTGGGCCCAAATCTGGCTGAGCGCCGGTGCTTGAGTTTGCTTTTGAGAGTGAGAGAATGGTGCTTGAGTTTGCTTTTGAGAGTGAGAGAATGGTGCCTGAGTTCACCAATTCCTGGAAATCTGAGAGTGAATGAAAACTAAGAAAATGAGAAGATAGAAGATGAAAACGGTGCCGGCCGGAGTGGTGGCATCGGCGGTCGGTGCCTGAGTTCGTAGAGTGAAAATGGTGCATTTGGGTTCGTCGGTTCTGAAAGTCTAAGAGTGAGAAACTGAGAATGAGAAGAAAATAGAGAAGATAGAAGATGAAAACAGTGTCGGCCAAAGAGAGAGAGAAGACCTAGTTCTGGTGGCACCGGTCGTTGGTGCCTGAGTTCTCATAGTGAAAACGGTGCACCTGGTTTCATCGGTTCTGAGAGTCTGAGAGTGAGAAGAAAAGTGGGAAGATAGAAGATGAAAACGATGCCAGCTGGAGAGAGAGAGAGAGAGAGAGAGAGAGAGAGAGAACCTAGTTCTGGTGGCGCCGGCCACTAGTGCCTGAGTTCGCAGAGTGAAAATGATGCGGTTGGGTTTGCCAGTTCTAGGAGTCTATGAGTGAGAAACTGAGAATGATAATAAAAGTGAGAATAATTTAGGGTTTAAACTATATAAAAGTTGGGTTGGGTTGGGTTGGGCTTTTTTGACAAATCCCGAACTCGGCTCAGAAAAAATCAAGTTGGGCTTTTAGGCCCAAGGTCAAGCCCACAAGCTAAAACTCATGTTGAAGTCCGTTTGAGGGCCAAGCTGACCCAGCCCAGCTTGTCAAGCTACCCAACCCATGAACAGGTCTAGTTATCACATGGTCACAGGCGGTGTTTGTGTCATTTCTAGTACCATAATTCAACCTGATTCTCCGTTAATGCTTCCAACTCATCAACATGTACAAGTAAATGATAATACTATATAGTTAAATTCAACCTTTTTTTACTTTTACCAAAACTAAGAAAAGTATTCCCTTTATAATAATATAAATGTATGATTATAATTTGGCAACAAAATATGACACAAAAGAAATATTCATACAAACTTCAACAATCAACACACATCAAACTGTGCAAAGTGTTGGATTTTAATCTCATTAAAGATTAAATCTAATAGGGTCCGATTGATCAATTACATAAAAAATACATTTGTATACATGTTTTGAAAACTAGTTTTTTTTTTCTTTTACTAAAATCAGTTTTCAACTTATCCCACATTAGAAAATTACTAAACTTGTTTTATGTTTTTAAATAGGAGTTTGTTTACACTCCTTAGAAATATAAAAGTATGAGTATGGAGGCTTGATATTGTGCAACGTGCGTGCGTGCACGTATGCGGTGCAATGAGGTGCACTTTGTTCACACTTCGTCTCCATGTAAGGCGTAATGTTAACCACCTTTAAATAGTCACAATGTTTGAAATTGTGACTATTCAAAGAACTTTTTTTTTTAAATGAGCACATTTCTTTTCTCCATGATTCTTTAGAAACTATTTAAAGAATGCGAATTAAGCAATTGAACACAGGGTTTTCGAAAATCACTCTTGTATCTCTCAGTTCAATTTGCTACTGTCTCACAAAAGGTTTTTTTGGAGACTCTTCAACTTTGTTGGTTATAGATTCTCGCCCAAGGCTCTATTGTATATTGTGAACGAATTTACCTGTACCCAACAACAAACTCAGTACAATTGAGTGGAGACAAATAACATTATAAAGACAATATTTTCAAACATACCTCAGAGTGCTTCTCCTCCAAGTTTCCATAATCCTAATTTCCAACACAAAATTATCCACTTTGACACAACTGTACCTTGTAAAAGAGAAAAACGGAAGGTCAAGGAAATGTCCTTGGGTGCATTCCATGAGTGGCTTCTTCTACTACAATCAACATTCTTAACTTACCAGCCAATTATTTAAGGCTACAAGAATTAGGTGAGAAGAGGAAAGTTATCGGAATCTTGTTTACTCAAGGAACCAAGTGAAGAGAGTCTCTCATAATTGTTGGGATATTTTTTCTTTTGCTATACAAATGGGCTACACAATGGGGGTAGCTTTCCCTCACATCCTCCTCGCCCAGATAAAGGCGGTGTTCAATCCAATGTCTTCCATTTGTTGGAATCATTGGAAAGCCAAGAATCAACTGGCGTTCTTCAACGCTAACAGTTGGAGGTGCAACAAGAGTGGACTCCGATTAAGCATCTGTTAAAACTAAAAATTTGAATGGATATATGAATTTGATGAATTGGGATCGGCTACTCACATAGGGCGTATCACACTGACTTACAGGCACATCCCACCGTGTCCGTAAATAACAATACATAACAACACACAGTGGGATGTGCCTGTAAGATCGGTGTGAAGCGCCACGTGTAAAGAGCAGATCCGGTATTGATTTTGATGCCGTATAAATTTGTCAATTCAGATACCCACTCAGATTGCACCGCTATTGACAAGATTGACAAGCCTTGTGACAAAATTCTTCCTTGTCGTAACACTACCCACCAAACCACATCGATCATTATGGTATGTATCCTAAATTTTCTGTATTTGCACAAACATTAGATTGTTTCTTACTGTTACTATATAGATAGTACGTTTATGGATGTTTATCTTATTGGAAATAGATTTCAGTCTTTTTTAAATTGTACATACAATCACTTTTAACGGTGGATGATGAATCAATGTTCCTTTGTTTTTATCGAAATTTCTGAATGCTTGACGAAGTGGCTTTAAATCCACAGTGAAAAGGTGACTGTACCTACAAATCTACAATTTAATAGGAGTCAAAGTTCTCTCGATCTTATCATGTAGATTGTAGGGCTGATAGAGAATGGGTGGGATTTTTATCAGGATGTATGGCCTTAAGTAGTAGATATGGATCAAGGGTAGGGCTGTCAATGGGTTGGGTCCAAGCCGATGAACCTGATGGGCTTTGAACGAATCGGGCCGGTACTGGTTCCAGGATATTATAACAATGGATCAGTTTTGGTTTTTCATATATTATTATTGATTGAAATTAATTCTATCCAAAACCGAATAAATTCAGACCTAATTACCTCGATAACCGATCACTTCGACACTGTCTCTAAAATTACAGACACTATCAGGTCTGATTCGGTTACAGTTAATATTTCTTGTTGAATCGGATCCGGTTCCATCCAGACCCGTTGACAGCCCATGGGTCTAATACTATATTATACCAAGGCCCTTATCCCTCTAATTTCCCCGAAAGTAAAAAAGTATTTTGTCTTACATCCGTTATCTGTCCAATTTGGTCCTCAAGACATTATATCCAAAATTCACCAAGTCCAACTTATCTAATGCCTTTTCTCCTTGGTGTTTGAGCCTTGCACGATCTATTCTACAAATGGTACATTTATACTCGGCCATGTTTATATTTATAATACTTATAAAAAAGTCTATATTTATAGATGTTTAAATGCCTGTATGATCAGTTCAAGCCCAATTAGCTAGGACTGAGCCGATCTTAAGTTTCTATTAACTAGATAGCGCCAGGTGAAGGATGATTTACCATTTAACTCGATCTATTGACATCATCCGAGTTCTCTTAATTAAACACCATTGCTTTAGGTTACTCCTCCTAAACTGAGCTTTATTTGCATATTGGAATAAAAAACACACATCATGGGATGAACAATATTCATCAAGCCCCTTCCCATCATGTGATGTCTTAGCCAGCTGGTAATCTCAGCATAACATGATGAAAGAAACTATACCCCCTTTTATGGCTTTACTTTTTATATTTATTACTTATGACTTTGGAGAAGGGATCTAATAAGTTATTAGGGTCCATTTGGTTTATGGTCGGAATCGCAATTGGAATTGGAATGAAAATCCATTGGGATTGGGATTGGAATGGTCTATTCCCCTTGTATGTTTGGTTCAGGTGAGAATGTGAATTTAAATTAAAATTAGCTGGAATGCATTCTCATCCCAAAGGAGGGGGAGAGAATGGCCATTCTCTTAAATGGAGAAGTACTATTCTAATAGGAATGGGAATGATATTTCAATTTAGTCCAACCAAACAGTTGGATCATTCCGATTCCGATTCTAGACTCCTATTCCTGTGAACCAAACAGACCCTTAATCTCACATATGACAAGCTAGAAATAGGTTGCAC